TGTTATTATTATTATTATTGATGTATGTCGTGTGGCATTACATAAGTAATATGTAGGCCTATTATTATTGGTTCACAATTTACTACAAATATTTCCCCCTTTAATCAGTTCATATCTTTATTATCATTTTTGTAACTATTATTATTAATGTCAATGTAGTCATTTTAAAACTTACATTGCATCTTAATGTGCTTATTTACCGTAGCTGCATTAAAAGTTCTCAAACCTTGCTGCAAATATAATATTTTGTTTTAGTTGTCGTATTAATTATTGATGTTTAAAATATAATTTATTGTGTGTAATAGTAATGTAGCATAGAATAATAATTAACTTAAACTGTATGCAAGATAAGACCAACTGACATAAAGGAACCTTATTTAATGACTTACATAAAATAATAATATAATAATTATATAATAATACAATAGACTTATGCTTATACAAAAAATCATTTGTATTTCAGCAGCACACTAGAGAGGATCATACAAATGACAGCTATAAATGGAAGATGTATAAAATAGGTGGTGATGCATGCTGTAGCATTGAGAGTTGTAAGTGGAAAAGAGAGTGTCAGTGCCTAAACCTTGGGCAACGTTCAGAAAAAGCATTACAATGTAAATGGAAATGGGAAGATATGGGGCAAAACAGGTATATTCTGCGTCGACAATGTTATTGTGGTTATCACTCAACAATTGGGCCAAATATTGATATAAACCAGATGAGTGCGGCAAATATTTTCTTTAATTACAGTAAAAGAGTATTCAGAGAAACAAGAGCGACAACACCACTATCACGATTATCTAAGATACAGTACACTTCTGTTTATAAAAATTATAATTGAATATAATTCAATATTTTTTTATTATAGTAATAGTAAGTCTTATTTACCACACAATAAAATAAAATTACCTTTATGTGCTTTACATAAACGACAAAGAAAAATAATCATGAAATACCCTAATGCTACAAGAAATACTAACAAATAAAACGGCAAAAAAGCATGAAAAGTCATTGTCACTGCCCTAATCTTACATGCCAAATTATTATTATTAGATAGTTCGTTGTTCACATTCATGATCATTATTGAGAAAACCATAGACGGAAGGATTGTTACTTGAGTATTGAACGTCGACGTGGCCCAATGGAAAAACCCATGTCGGTTCAAATTACCATGAAATTGATTAAGGTTGTATAGAAATATTTTGACATTTTTGTGTGGAGGCCGATAAAATACCATCGAGTTTTTGGAATATTAATTTTCAAATAACTTTTTTTTGCATATTAAATTAGTTATTTATTTTACCAATCATTAAAGTAATAAGCTTTTTCGTAGTCTGAATTGTGCATGCCCGTATTAAAGTCCATCGACATAATATTATGTTTATGTTGATTGATTTTGGATACGGACATGCGCAGTTCAGACTAAGAAATGGCTTATTTAAAACTATAAAATATGAGCTAGGCATATAACCTATAGGCTATGTGCATTAATTTATGACATTTGTATAGGCTGTTATTGTTGTATTATGGTAGTACAACTTATATATAATAATTTCATAATTAGACAATTGAATTTCAAATAAATAGTCTCATTTTGGTATTTATAACAATGTAGTATTCCTAGATTAATAATATTTTTAAATACCTTTGTATGTACATATTTAGAGGCTCATTATAAAAATTCGTTTTTAATGCATTTAAGGAAAATAAATTACAACAAATATTCATTTGATGAATATTCATTTGGTTAATTTATAATTCATTATTCCATCAAAATTTGATAACATTTTAAATCAGTAAGAACAAAAGCAATTGTAACAGTAATATTAAAAAGGAAAAAAAATCATAATTAGGCATATTGAAAAAAATACTATTTATATATATACAAATTTAAAAACATTAAAATTGTTTTTACAATTGACTAATAACAATATGTTAAGTAAATTAAGATATAAAAATATGATTTTTGACCTTTTAAAATAGGTAAGTTGTTACTTTTGTGTTTGTACTCAAAATCAAATTAGAATTGCAAAATTAAAATTGAATTCCCAATGATTTTTTTTTATTTTTAGAATAAGACTGCTTTAATGTTTATAACAATGTAGTATTCTTGGATGAGGAAAATAAATAATAGCTTTGAATAATTGTTTTTGCACATATTCAGGGGCTCATTATTAAATAGTTTTTATGCATTTAAGTCAATTAACTTTCAATAAATACTCATTTGATAAATTATTCCATCAAAATGTGTTAACATTTGAAATCAATTAGAAAAAAAACCCCGTTCTAACAGTAATCCTAACAAAAAGTATATTTAAGAAAATGTAAGTAATATTTAAAAAACATTTGCATATATTCTATACAATTGACTAATAACATTAAGTTAATGCCAACTATTGCGAGTAAAAGAACTATGTTTATAACAATGTGGTATTATTGGATGAGGAAAATAAATAATAGCTTTGAATAATTGTTTTAGCACATATTCAGGGGCTCATTTTTAAATAGTTTTTATGCATTTAAGTCAATTAACTTTCAATAAATACTCATTTGATAAATTATTCCATCAAAATGTGTTAACATTTGAAATCAATTAGAAAAAACCCCGTTCTAACAGTAATCTTAACAAAAAGTATATTTAAGAAAATGTAAGTAATATTTAAAAAACATTTGCATATATTTTATACAATTGACTAATAACATTAAGTTAATGCCAACTATTGCGAGTAAAAGAAAAAATACAAAACATATATGAATCCATTTGCTTGGTTATAATTCCTGTTATGCAGTATTGTAGTTACTAGCAACTAGGCCTACTACCCTTTTTATCATTACATCCACAACATGTTTAAATCACCTTTCATTGAAATGTTAGTATTGCATTATCATAACAATCAGCAGTTTAAAAATGACATCAGAGGTACTATATATATAGGATATTTAGATATTACAGTAAGATCAAGCCTCAGTGTATTCTTACAAACTTTGTAAAGAAGCAACCGAAAAAGCATCAATTCAAAATCTATAAAAACACGTTTGAAAACTAAAATCGAAGTATGGAAGATTTACCATCAGAAAAAAAACATTTTAGTTCGAGTTGTTACTGGGATTTTTGTTGCAACTATAGATGGGTTCGTAATTGTGTTTGCGATTGCCCGAAAACCCATTATTATGAGAACCACGCGAAAGTATCTTGTTCATGGGAGCGGATTTCGTCCTGTTGTGTGAATATGCCTAACGAATCAATTCTGCGTCGACATTGTTATTGTGGTAGGTACAAAACGTACATCGGACCAAACATTGACACCAACTAAAATGATTAAGGTAAATATTGCTAACCAGGGAAACAAAATTATAAAGTTCTATCAAAAATGTACAAAATTAGCCACACAAACTTATCAGAGTAAAAACATGTAAAACACAGGTGTTTTGAAAATAATGTAAACACATCTTGCATATCTTTCGGTGAAAGGATGAACAATATTGTTTATGTTTTATTCCATATTCCAAATTTGGAATTAGAAAATCGGCTGGGCCCCTGGGACAATACGGCGCAAGTACTATGTCCCCTGTCTCCCCTAAAGGCACATTTTCACTAGACACGATTACGACACAACAACGACACGATACAGATGCGCACAGTGTTGAAGAATACAAACTACACGATGATATGTTGTTGTCGTGTCGTTATCGTGTCTAGTGTAAATCTAATAGTCTGATGACTAGGCCTAAGTACCAATGGGAAAACAGGAAGACATTCTGTGAAAAAAATCACTGTAAACAGGGTAATATTCCTTAATATTCGTGATGTGTAAACATGTGGCACAGTGTCTGGGCACCAGTCCTAATCAAAAGATAGAGGGTTCAAACTGTCTCTTATACACATCTAGATGTGTATAAGAGACAGATAGAAAAGTTCGGGTCATTCCAGAATCAGAAAATGCAGATCATTACTCATTATCCTTTCTAAACTCTACTGCCTTTAAACATCTTCGAAATATTGATATTAGCTAAAACTTAGACATGTTAACCAAGTGGATCTAGCTTTTTGTAAACGGTTTGGTTAACTAATTAGGGGCTAATCCGAGCCCAATGCTGAGGACTAGGGGACCACTAAGGTCTCCGGTATGAATACAGTGGCTCTGAAAAAAAAACAAAAAATCAGTGGATTTTATGTTGGGGTAGACAATTTAATTGAAATTCCATAATTATTATATCTACTGAGCGAAACTCTTAGCTGAAAGAAGCAGTTGAGGAAGGTCCCAAGCTTTGATTCAGGAGCCGACGATTCTGGAATAAAACACTCAATGGTTCTGTTCTTCTGGAATGATTTTATTTTTAAATATATCCCGAGTGGAACCAATAATTACGTTTACAGTTAGTAACTGATGACTTGGTACCAGAGGACCCCCCACATTATCGACGTCTACAGTGGACGGAGAAGTCCAGGAGAAATTAATCACGATTAGTGATTTTCAATTTCCTATAATAGTAAGCTTAGCAAATTTTGCCTACCTCTGCAGAAAAACCATTTGCGAGCATAAAAAGCAACTACTGGCCAACCATCCTGGTGCTAACATGATACCCCAGTCGGGACGAAGGGACGTCGAATATTATTTTTTATTTGAAGATGTATTCTTATATAATAACCCCAAGCATTTAAAGGAACAGCAAAAACTCGTGTTTGAAACTGGAGCCAAATACGAGTCTCCCTCCCCAACAGGAATCTCCCTGTTATTAAGCATAACGAAATGTTATCAAATAATCATAATATAATATGTATTTTGTCATTCAATAACAAGCCATGAAAAGATTTCCAAATCTCCCCTCGCTGGTACGCCAGTAAATTTCGCATAAATTTAGGCCTAGAACAAAACTTTAAAAAAAAGCAATAGATGCTAAGTAAAAAAAATGTTTAAGTTACAATGCAACATACCAGCAAGTATCCAATACACATCTAGATGTGTATAAGAGACAGATATATATATATACTACAAAATTGTGTAGTTTCTACGCATGCGCTAAAAGTTTGCGTCGTAAACGCGATCGAGATTGTGAAAAGAAACTCAATCTATGACGTTTGCTACAAACATAGCAATCTTTCAGTGCATTAATTTATTTTGATCTCTAAAGGTAATAGGCCGTTACTATATAGCGTTTCATTGTATTCTAACACTTTTTATGTTGATCGACGGATCTGTCTACCTTCTACATGAGTGCTTGGTGACAAAGTGTAAACAGATTTTTGTTTTGCAAACTATCAGTCGTATCCAACATTAAAAAATGTACAACATGGGATTGGCTGTTCAAAACTCTATATATATCAGCCGAAGAACTAGAATTTTCGCAGAAAAGAACATTAATATGCGTCGGTGGTGGAGTAGGCTTTGGAGCACTGGTTATACAGAAATACATACAAATGACAGTTGTCAATGGAAGATGAGTGGGTTAGGCGGTGATAAGATTTGGACAAGAGAGTGCCATTGCGGTAAATTTAAAAAAGAAGGTTCAGAAGAGCATCACGATATGAGCTGTAAATGGCATTCGACAGTTATGGGGGCAAGCAAGTATATTCTGCGTCGAGAATGCCATTGTGGGTATTACTCAACGGTTGGTCCAAACATTGATATCAACTAGATGAATATGGTAATTAATTTCTTTTATTGCAGCAAACGTGTATTCTGAGAAACACGAGTGACAAAACCCAAGATACAGTAGATGAATAACATGTTGACACTTTTGATAATTGGCAAAACAATATTTGAATAAATTTTGTGTAGTTGTTACTATACTACCGTATAGTCAGTTATGTGGATTGTATACTCAGACTCGTAGTTATAAACGACAACTAACTGATTTTTCACACTAATGCTTCTCTCATGCATAAACATTTACCATATAGTTTTAAAAATGTTTTTATCCATAAAGAATTCAATTATTTTACATTAGAAATGTTACCAGTCCTATGGTCTTAGTTTTTAAGACACTGTCATATTATCTTAAATTTATAAGATAATGTAAATTTAAAAATATGAAATTATTTTTAAATAATGGTAATTATATACGCTTAAGTGAATAGATATACAAAATTAATTTTTGCAAGTCTTTTGCTGTAAGGGTTTATCCTTATAATCATTAGCAATATCATTATCATTATCTTACCATTACTATTATCATTATCACTATAATATTACTCATTATTAACTATATTGATTATTATCATTATCAAAATGGACGGTGTAACAGCAGACATGCAATAAACAACGGAGTTCAATGCTAACATCTACTATTGAAGATTCTTAATTATTATTAATTTAAACAGATATATTGCGATTTTTATTTTCATAACATCACAAAAAACTGAGTTGTAGTATAAGAATTCTTGGCAACATGTTTAAAATGTTTAAAATCATTACTATTAACTGGCTATGTATTTATACATTTTACATTCTTATACTACTTTACCAAACGAGAATTAAAATAATCAATACATTTACATTTGGAATAAGCCTTTCTTATTTCCAGATGAATAGATTTGTTGTCAAGTATCTATTGGCTATTAGAAACACGTGTATTTTTTCTGTTTTCTAATTGGTTGACAAAAGTGTTTGCAATCGTTTTAGTGTTAGGACATTAGTTACTACTTAATGTAGCTTTCCTTTCATTGAAAAGATGGCAGAGCACTTCCCTAAGACTGAGATTCATGGAAATCCCAATTGTATTTGGATACGAGATTTAGAGGATGCAAATACATTCAACCTCGACTGTCACTGTAACTATAATATAACTCATAATATTGAACATCATAATAGTCAATCTTGTTTCCCGAAACATTCTGCGCCAGATGTGCTATTGCGGAAGATACATCAGCTGTCTCTTGTCATGTAGGACCAAATGTACCAATAAACTAATGGGGAATAAATTCGCAGCTAGTGTTTAAAATTCGATTGTTTCCCCCATTTTTAAATCATCTTATTTTATAGTATGTACCATATCATTGATATAATGTTGTATTTTGTAATTTTGTGTTTTTATTTTAATGATGGTTGCCGCAACAATTTCCCGTAAGACAACTAAATTCTAAATCCGGTCTGAATTTAAACTAAGCGCACCTGTATTCTCTTTAAATGTAACTGTCAGTTAGGTTTCAAATTGCAGGCATTACCTACCTATAATTATAATTATTTAATTATGTATATTCATAAGTATATAAATGCATGGGCATATATAGGCCTATAGTGTGTTTTAATTAGGCCTATATAAATTAAATTAGCATTATTATACAAGTCTCCCTCTAATTAAAGACCATTGTTGGGACGGGATTTTAGTGGCCTTTAGCAGCTTTGGTCTCTAATTAGAATTCCTGTAATTTAAGACTGGCAGTAAAAGAGGCATTTGAATATCACTATTTAGAGGAGAATTAAGAATTGGTACAGTAAATGTAAGTTTTTTTTTCAGGTATTGTAGAATGGGTTTACATTTCTGTATGCTGTTATTCATTTTTAATAAACCATTTTTGGTAGCCATACATCAAGTCCTGCGCTCGTTCTACCCAAATATCCATTACAAAAATACAACCATTAACTAATTCTACAAACTAATTCTACTAACACAATTGGCATTCAATATAGAGCACTGTATACACAAAAAATTGGCTTTGATGTATATTATTTTGAAGTCTGTAAAATTCTGCAGTAAAATCACTATATTTAAAAAAAATATTCTTTAATTGAAAGGAAAATTTTTAGTTTGGTCTGCCAAAACCATCTACGCCGGAATTAAAAAAAAAAAAACCTAATGTGGTCTCTGTTTAGAGGAAAGTTAAGAAATAATGTATTAGGTGTTTTTTAATGGATGCAGTTACTGTATGCTGATATTTATTCTTATTAAAGAATTTCTTTGGAATCTAGAAATCAAGTCCTGTAATTATTTAAAACAACTTTTATTATAATATTATCAACATCATCACTGGCATTATCGTTATTCAATATACACAAAACAGATTCTTATGATGTGCTTTGGCTAATATTTTTAAGTCATACAACATCACTATTTATTTTATAGTGGTCTTAAATTGGAGGGGAAATTATCAGTTGGGTTATTCACAACCATTGTCGTTGGTCACTAAATAGAGGGAGTATTTAATTGGAGAAAACAGCTAATGTTAAAAAAATAGGAATTCAACCGGAGTCGCAGAAAAGTGGTGCTTATTTGGGGGTGGTCTTCAATTTGATGGGTCTTTAATTGAAGGGAGACTTGCGTATTTATATGTATTGCATTTGAGATGAAATAAAAATTAATAATTATGAGAAATTTTTTTTCAAATTAAAATTTTAGTTTTATGTTTGTTCTTGATATATTTTTTTCAGATTTGATGAGATCGTGGAAGAGGAAGATTGCATGCATCCTATTTGAAAGCTATACAATCAAAGCACAAATTGCACCTTCATGTCAAGACACAAATTTCATCGTCCTGTAGAGGAGAATTATGAAACTAAATTTTACTCGCACCTCCTTGTATTCCACTGTTAACTACTCGCCTACTTTGCACCTCATCAATATATATTTAGCCAACAAGCTCCACTACTGCACCAAAGAAAGCTTAGAAAAGATAATTTACAACCGATAACACTTCTATATCCAGATTAGATTAAATATAATAGTTATCTTGTAAAATTAAATCAAGTAGGTTTCCCATGATCAGTATAACATTAACAATATTATTGTGTTCCTATAATCGTAAATTGTAAGGCTAGTACAATGAAGTGTTCTCCATAGCATCATGGGCAAGCGTCATGGTAAGTATTAAGTCCACCCTAGGGACTGACACTAGGTATTTTTAATAATTAGGAGGCATTGAAATGTCCTAAATTGCACTTTAAGACTATATAAAAGCTTCCCTGATAAAAGAATCATGGAAGATGATCCAAGCATCATGACCAACTGTCAAGACTTCATGTGGAAAGTCCCAAGCATCATGGTACCATGGTGCTTCAAGGGACTGGGGAGAACACTGATAATAGGCTTATCCTTATAAGCCTAATTCAGAATATAAACATACAAATTAGTAAAATGAAAACTACAAAAATATTCATAAAAGTTTTATTTGAAATTAAATTGTTCGTTTTGAAGTACTGCAACATGAAAATAATCAACTAATATCAAATCAAAATATCAAATCGTTCCATTTATATGTCGCCATTCCAACAGCCATTGCTCGTGGCGAAGTGGATTAGATGTTGCACTTTTCAATAACGCACTTTCCTCTGTCCAAATGAGTTTATTTAAAAAATATTTACCAATAAATTTTACAGCGAAAAATGATAGAAACACTTCCAGTCACTGGAATTGTTTTTGTTATTAATTATCATTATCAAGTATAAAAATCAGGATACACATTTTTTAATTTAAAAAAAAAAAGTGTATGCTTTAGTCAAAAATGTGTATGTTACAGCAAAATGAGCAAGTTAATTTCAAAATTTTTTTTAAATGATAATTTTCTGTCATATTCATTCGACAATTCATCTTTAACTCTGTTAAAATGTTAATTTCTTTGACTGTAGCACTTCTTTTATATTTCTTCTACACTATAGCATTATACAGTATTTGACCCCTTTAAATATTTATATTATCTTATGTTGTTGGTATTATTATTATTACTGATAAATGTCATGTAGCATTATATAAATAATATGTAGGCCTGTTACTATTAGTTAACAATTAACAACAAATGTTTCCCTTTTTATACAGTTCGTTCCACAAGGGGTCGAATTTTTGTAGGTCCTAAATGTAGGTGTCAACTTTGATAAATCATTAACAAGACCACTCTCATTATCATCATTATTATCATTCTCATAATGTAGTTATTTTATTGACCTCGACATATAAATTATGTTATTACTATTACTATTATTATTAAAAATATTATTAATATTATTGTTATTATTATTAATGTTAATATAGGCATTTTAAATTTACATTGCATTGTAACGTGCTAGTATTATGTACCGTAGTTGCATTAAAAGCTCTCTAAACTTAGCTACAAAGCTAGTCTGTTGTTTTATTCTGTCGTAGTAATTGTCGGTGTTTGAAATATAATTAGTTGTGTGTTAATAACAATAATGTAGCATAAAATATCAATTAACTTAATCTGTATGTAAGTCTGATATAAAGGAACAAATAAAGTTGTTTGGTTAAATGACTTACATAATATAATAATATAATTATTACATAATAATATAAAAGACCTAATGTTTATATTAGAAGTCACTTCCATCCATCTATTAACAATATAGGCCGCACAATTCCGAATAATTATAACAACAAAAATCGTATTTATTATTCTGCTTAATTTAAAAATTTCTATTATATTTGATCAGCTTTCATAAAAATATATTTCTAAAAATTTTGAATCGAAAATTATATTTGTATTAAAGGTTATTAAACGAATGACCAATACATTGACACGTCAGTTTACATTATACACATTGGCATATTATTTTCTGTTACACAGTAAATTATCACGCAGATTGAACTCCGCATGTCTATGTGAAAGGTCAATGCATGCAAATCTGTAACGAGAAAGGTCAGAGTTTGAAGAATGTCTAAGGTGGGATTGGCTACTTAAAACTATATATACTGTATCATTCGAAGAACTAAAATTCCGCCCCACCCCTTCCCCAGAAAATAATAATGGGTCAGAGAGTGCCATTGCCAAAACGACCTGGAAGGTTCGGAGACGCATTACGATAGGAGATGTAAATGGCATCGGAGGGATATGGGACAAAGAAAGTATATTTTGCGTTGAGAATGCCATTGTGGGTATTCTCAACGGTTGGTCCAAATATTGATATCAACTAGATGAATGTGATAAATATTTTTCATAAACACGAGTGCCATGCCCCTACAAACATTATTAAAGAAAGATGAACATATTTTTGACACGTTCCACACATTTCACTTGGTCATTACTTGCATCTAACAAGTTTTTCTTGTTTCCTTCAATGTATTTAATAACTGATCTTGTTCTATAATGTGTGGATTCCCAAATTAATAGTTAACATACTGTTTCTTTTCTTTAACGTTTATTTCATACTGATGCTTTCTTCATACATGGAATCTTAGCATATAGTTCTTTATTAGTTTGTGTATGCGGTTTCCCCCAATAGAACTCTTTTATGGAACATTAGATATTTTATCAGTCTTCATTATTATGACATTGCAATGTTATTTAATTCTATATGATTTTGCTCCAAGTTTTAGAAAAGCATATTTTTTTTATTACACTACATTATAGTTATTTTTATTTTAATGATGATAATAATAATAATAATAATAATAGTTTTAATAATAATAATAATAACAATAATAATAATAATAATAATAATTATAATAGTAATAAATCATTCGTATATATTTCACATATTAAACTTAATAATGCATACTCATTTTCACAATTTCCAAACACAAATCTAATGCACAAATTAAACTTCGACATAAAACAACCATAAAGGCAATTTAGTTACGTTTAATTACTTTACAATGTATTTCGAACAATTAAGTAATTTTGATTTTTTTTCTATATTTATTAAAAAGGAGGATTTCATACTCCTGTGTCATTGCTTATTTCTTCTACTTCATATCTTTCCTTCTTATGAGTCAAAACCATCACCATTACGTTAGTACAGTACTACTAAACCTATTTTGTCACAAACCTATTGGCTATCAGAATCACGTGCAGTTTTTCTGTTAACTAATTGGCCGACAAAATTGGTCGTAATCGTGTTGAAACAATATTGTAGTTACTTTTATTTGAAAAGATGGCAGCGCAATATCCAGAGATTGAGGTTCATGAAAATCCTAGTTGTACCTGGACAAAACCTGCAGAGTATGGAAATATTATAAACCTCTTCTGCTACGGTTTGTACAATAAAACTCATACTAGTGAATATCATAATAGTAATTCTTGTTTCTGGGATTCTGCAACATTGGATGGAAACCGAAAAATTCTCCGGCGAATGTGCTATTGTGGAAAGTACACCAGTCATGTAGGACCAAATATATCGATAAACTAATGTAAGTAACTTTGTAATTAGTGTTACAAATTTGACTTTTTCTCCATATTTGAATCTAAACTATGCGCAGTTATGTGTTTTTTTTCTTTAAGGTTATTGCCAGTTTAGTTTCAACTGCACAC